GAAATTGGGCAATAAATCTTTCAGAAAAATACCATAGTTAAGTTTGATCTATTAGGTGGATGTGTTTACACTTAGAAAATCAACAAAACATTTTCATATGACTGTATATGTATATATGTATGTAAGATGTATAACAATATACAGACTGTGTATATTACTCTACATCTAAATGCAGTGTGCAGTGAAATTAGTGTGTGTGTGTCTGCACCTCTAAAACCAAGAAATACATATGTTAGCAATGCATACGAGGCACCACTTCACAGTGCGAGAGCACACACACGTCTACCTCATCTGACTTGGTCAGCAGAAAATCCATGCAGCCTGCAGGCACTGAAGCTGTACACAGGGTGCCTTCTGCTGCCCTCACTACAGATGCAGACTTCACTGCTGGCTTTAATCAATGCCTCGAGTGCTCCGGCCCTGCCTTTCCATCAGCTTCCGTGCTTCAGTGAGTCTGACATCAACCAAACAGGGACCATCAAGGTAATCATGACGGAAAGAGTGTGGGCAGCCTTCAGCCACTGCGGTAAAAGATCGCAGCAGTTCTGTAGGATGAGGAGCCAGCGCTGTATGAGTGTAGTTATCAGTGAAATGGAGACCCTGGCAGGGTCCTTGAGACTGGGAGGGGAGGCATTCGAATAAAGTGTTTTCAGTGTCACTGTCGCTGAGCTCTTTGAGTTTATGAAGCCGCAGTGTGAAAGACTGATTGACGAGACAGCAGACAGAGAGAAATCAAAGTCATCTCAGAAAGAGAGAGAGAGAGCGAGAGAGAGAGAGAGGAAGGAGAACATGACTGTAATGTCCTCTGTGGAACAACTGCACACAGAGACGAACATGGATAAGCAAATGCCTGAAAAAAAAAAGTAAAAAAGTCTCAACTCAGCTGCAGCATTTTGTGACTCTGTGTCCAAGGCCACATCAGCTGTTTTCTGATAGCGTAACAGTCTGAAACAACAGCTCTGACTTCAATAACAGGTCAGCCTTCAGCATGTTTCATTCTCTACATCTTTAACTAATTAAGCAGCAGAATTCACATACCTTCCATCAGTGTATCTTACTCAGTCATTAAAACTGGCCAAATTACATTCTGCATTTATATAATCACAGACATATTAAAAGCATTTTTCAATTTTTATTACATCATTTGAGTACAGCAGCTGTCCTTTACAATAGAAATGCTTCAAAATTTCTTGGAAAAAAATCTCATTACATTGACTTACATTAAAAGTTAAGACCAATTTGTCTTTTTCTGTAAAGTTATCATTTTGGAATTACTTGAGATTTTTTGGACAGTGACACTCTATATATATCGCTGTCCAGTGGTCCAATGTTTTTTCTAAAATCAAGGGTATTAATAGAGAGTTTGTTCCATTTTTGCTGTAGTAACAGCATCTACTCTTTATTGATAAAGGTTTCACACCTGATGTTGACACATTGCTGTGAGAATTTGATTGCGTTGAGCCACAAGAGTATTAGTGAGGTCAGGTACTGATGTTGGATGATTAGTTTTAATCACAAACACCACTACAGCTCATCCTAAAGGTACTGAATGGTGTTCCATCATGCCAGAGAACACAGATCCACTGCTCCACAGCCCAGTGCTGGGGGGCTTTATATCTTGGCATGGTGACCTTAGGTTCATGTGTGGCTTCTTCAAACAGTCCCATTGAATTGGCAGTTCTTTTCTATGGAGATTGTACAAGCTGTGTGTGCGCAACTGGAGTGATTAATTAATTAAAATCAATAATTAGAAGTGGTGTCTGAATACTTTTGGACAACTGGTTTTCTGTCATGAAGAAGAACCATATTACGATGGTTGCAAATTGTTCTTGAAATGCTCATGAACCATTCCCTTTCCTAAAGAGCCCTTAAGGAACCATTTTAAGGGCACAGGTAAGCAGGTATTAAACTAGTACTGCATACCTGTTAACCTAATACTAATGGTAAGATGGGTGATGGAAATCCTGTAAAATTGAATAATAATCATGAGTCAGTACTTTGGTCTCTAATTTGGGGCTATGTTGGTTTGGGATGCTGTTTGATGCAATTCAAATAAGTAGCTAAATCCAATATTGGCCATTCCTGTGATGACACTGTGCAGTCCGAATTTTTTAACTGTTTTTTTGAGACCATAGAACATGATACTTGCCTTGAGGCCACAGCAAAGGCAAAAAGTCAGGTAAATATAGTCTATATACAGTCTAAAACATAAAAAAAATTAAAAATCATAAATAAGATCATAATAACAAATCATAAATTAGAAAGTCTATATATACATTCTTAAAGTCTGTATATATGCATTCTCAAAAAAGATGGTCCTTCAAGGGTTCTTTAGGAAAGACAGTGTTTCTATATTTATAACCATGAACACTCCAAGAACCATTTGCTTGCTTAAAGGGTTCTTTGCATGGTGAAATGATTCTTCAGATTGGTGGAGAATATGTCATATGTGGTCCATTTATGCAAATGCAGCATGCAAATGGTTCTTTGAGTGTTTACGGTTGTAAACAGAACCACTGTCTTTACTAAAGAACCCTTTAAGTACTATCTATTATATATATATATATATATATCGCTGTTGTCAGAAGAAAATCTCATATCTCTAAGGAAAAAACTTAGTTTACTTTTAACGTAAGTCAGTGGAACCAGACTTTTCTCCAAGTGAGAAAAGGGCTATTTCTGTTGGTCCATTCTTTATGAAGTGTACACACAATGTAAAAGGCACAAAGCATTTGTGCATTCAAATTATGTCAAAAACTGAAAAACAAAAATGGAGATACGAGGTTTTCGTCCAACGGCAGCGATATATATGTATATATATATATATATATATATATATATATATGATATATATATATACAAAGATATATATGAGTATGTCAGGCTCTGTTACGTACTATAAGAGACCAGTAGGGCTATTAAAAATATGCCTTATCATCATGCACATTTTCATTCGCATCCAAGAATGACTGTAATCAATATTTTTTTGGCAAAAAAACATGAATAATTTATTCAAATCTATATATAAAACATGGCATGCAATCAAGACCATTCTGTTGTATAGGCCTGTACTGTATATGTATATGACTGCAAACCTCTGCTTTACTCAGCTGTCCTGTGGTGCAGTCTGGGGAACACCCTATTAAGAATTCCACAGAGAAGCGGTCGTGCTCCAAGAAGAAAAGGCAGCAAATCCCCCTTGTATTTACCCTTTTATTATGTTTCACTCTTTCAGTGTTAAACTGAGAAGATGCACAAGAACGACCCTGACGCTCGGTGGAAAATCTCATCCCAGTTTCATTGACAAGGAAACACGAATCGAACAGGAAAACACAATTCAATTTCATGAGCCATCAACTACGTAGCTATCCACTGAAGACATACTGCACTCCAGAGAGAAGGGTGGAGGCATTTACGAATGGGAGTAGGGGTGTAGATTAAATGTTTGTTAGCTAAGAAGAGAAGAGTGTTTTTTTCTTGTACAGTGTAGAATAAAGCCTGGTTCTACAGTACAGGCCCCATGAGGTGAAAGCCAATAACATTACACTGTGCTAAATTATGATTCCTAGTACTGCGTCATTACTTTGGAAAGCTCGTCCATTATTGCGGGGCATAAAAGGTGACACCTCTGTTCTCCAAACATTAGCAGCCCCCATGCAGCAGTCCAGTGCAGAGATTTACTGGGGGTGGGGTGATGGTTTCACTTCAGTGAATCAGCAGAGTATATATACATACATATATATATATGTGTGTGTGTGTGCAAGATATGCCTAACTCAAAAACATTCACACTCATTATCTCTGACTCTCAAGGACAACTGGAGCATCCAAATCCCCTACCTTGCACCCCACAGTCTGACACTGCATGGTCTATTCACCCAGGTCAACACTGCAATCAATGAGATTACCCCTGAATTGCTTCTCTCTTCAATTGCACCACTGCAGATTTTGCTTTGAAGGAGTTTCTACAGGGCAGAATCGCCACACTTATTCACTGCGAAACAGCTTTTATCATTGACCTCAGACCAGTCTGCTCTACCTGGTCAACCAAATGCCCTTCATCAAGCAGAATGAGCAATCCTCCGAGCTCCCCAGTCTAATTAAAAATCTAATTAATCAAGCAAAAAGGACAAACAAAACTTAAAATGGTCCGAAACGCAAATATTTTAGTAGACAAAGTTTACAGCAAGCAGAAGATAACAGGGATAACGTAGGCTCACCTATGTGAGTGCTGTTCAGACAGAACAGCTTGTTCAGCAGAAAAAGGCTTGCCTACAATTAGCGGCCGTAGCCCACCATGGGACACCAAACCCAAAAAGCACTCTCACAGCACTGACGCTGACATACAGAACACCCAGAGATCAATCTGAAGCACCTTTGGATCCAAGTTAAAGGAATTTTCCCAACATTTTGCAAGCCAATCTCTGTGTCCCCCAGTTCCCATACGTGACAGTGTCCCTGCTTCAGCAGCTGCTCATCGGCTTCTATTATAATCAAGCTGAGCACTAAGTAAAAGTAATGAAATGATTCTCTGTGGTAATCAATCATACGTTACATATGTGTCAGATAAGCATTGGATTGATGTTCCTTTAAATTTGCTATAAAGTTCAATATCTTTACCTCAGTCTTGGTTTGAGTGGCATTCAGCCCTTTATTCAGCACATGTCCACGTTCTCAAGTTGCATTCTACGCACATCTCTATTATGTAATCAGACACTGCAGCACGGGATGCTACACAAACGGACCTGCGAGGAGAAAGTTACACTCAAGCAACCCCCCACCCTCCAGACCCTCCTCCTCCTCTCCTCCTATCCCCTCCCCATCTCCTCTCCATGCAGTACTTCTGTCTTTAACGAGGAATTTGTATTAATTGCATGTTTTGTTACCTGTTAAAGTCTCCTACATGTGCAGGGCTGGTCTCAGGTGGCGGTGAACCTGAACAGCCTGAATATCACTTAGAACTAAGAACCTTATAATATGTACTAAAGGAAATGTGCTTACCTTGGGCTGAGATGTACTGCGCCAAGAGAGGAAGGAGGGGAAACTTCACCAGATGCCGCAGGACACTTTGAGTGGCACTTGAAACGTAAGAAACAAAAAAAAACAAGAAAGCTAAAGGAAAAAAAAGATCACAGTACTTTGCGTTATCCTCCGCTTATCTCTCTTTCTCCTGATCTTTTTTTTTTAAGAAATGTTTTGCAGTGCCCACAGGGGTCTTCCTCTCCCGGCTCTCCCCCTCTCTCTCTCTCTCTCACACACACTCTCACTCACACATACACACACGCTCTCCGGAGAGATGAGCTCTGACAGGGTGCAGGTTTGGGACGCACTCGCACATTTTCACTCCGCTGCTCTGCAATCGTTCCTCAGCATCGCAGCCTCTGGCGTTTCTCTGCTGTGCCGCGCGGCGGCGCTTTCTGATTGGTGGCCGAGCCGGTCAATCAGAGCGCCGCTCCTGTCCGATTGGCTCAGCAAGACGTTTTCCCCGCCCCCCTTTTCGCCACTACTTTTTTTCCACCCCTTTCTACTACTGAAGCCTAATGAAGCTTAAGTTGGCTTCTTGTTCGAATTTTCCGTTCCACCTTAAACGGTGCAGCGGTTACATTCTGGCGCCTGCGCCATTTAAGGTGGAACGGAAAATCAGAACTTCAGCCTCTCGTAGTAGAAATCTGGCTCGGGAGAGAAGGCAGGAATAGGGAGGAAGGGAGGGAGGGGGAGTTAAACAGGAGAGGAAGAGGGAGATGCTAGGGGAAGCACAGGCACTGCTGAGGAGTGGATAACGCTGCGGAGACTGGACGCAGATTCCCCTGCTCAGCAGCCCACGATGTGTGTGTGTGTGATCGTTTCTTGTATTCAGTGATTTGTGGGGACCCGCTTGTCTGCACCATCACAGGAAAACGGGGATCTTTGACGTTGCAGCTACATTTACAACTCCTTTTTAGCAAAAATGTACAAAACTACAGATTCGGGTTATTAGTGAAACAGAAAAATGAAAGATGCTCATCAACAAAGTATTAGCGAGTTAGGCCTTCAGTTCAGGCCGTAGATGTCAACGCTTGGTCAAAAACGAGGAAAAAAAAAACACCTCTAGATAGTGCTAACTTGTGTTAGCGCCCCTATGGGATTCTAGGAGTATATTAGTGCTTTTAAAGCTTGTAACAGAAACTTTATGTTTTCTTTGAAGCTTGTAACTGACATATTACGATATACTGTACCTTGTATGTATCAGTTGTACATTGACTCCTTCAGTGAAGAGTCATAAAGCTGCCGCCGCTGTTTTGCATTCCTAACAATTGACTGAAACCTTAGATGACCACGCATATTTACGTTCAGTGACGGACTTTCAGAAGGCTGGGGGTGACATTTTTTCTAACAAAATTAATCCCACCCATTGTAAATCAAAAAGCAATTCTCTGATTGCACAGTCAGTTCCTAATTATTAGCAGCCTGATGAGGTAGGACTTCTGTCGAGGTCCCGAAGGCCTAACCAACAGGTGATCTTGCTTGTCCTGTGTTTGTATCAATTTAACGGGGTAAATCAGCAGCCCGCTCCTAAAGAGGTACAGCCATGGTTTGCTGATTTTAATTGGTCAGCTAATGACCATGGTTGGTGCTGTGTAATGGGTAAAACTGCTGACACACCACACTACACTAACCCTTGGGCAAAACTTCTAGCCCTACAATGACATCTGTAACAAGACTGAATTGTAAGTTGCTCTGGATAAGAGCATGCTAAATTTTAATGTAATGAGTCTGAGTGGGCAGAGATTGGCCTTTTCAAATTTGATGTCGTGATCCGAATGTGGTGCTGTTTAATACAACAGGCAGCGTCCTACAAGAGTAGAATCCTATGAAATAATGAAATATTAATATTCATAAATCCTATGAAAATGGACAGTAGTGGCCTCAAGCAGAAAACTAGGTGGCACTGAGAAGGCAAGAAAAAACAGCACTTGAGGAGGATTTTGGAGAGTGCTCCAAAATAATGTGGGCAGGTAGGCAGTGAGAAAGGCTGACAGGAACTTAGCTAGCATTGGTTTGTACAATATGAACTGTCATGATTATGGTACATTTAAGAAAAAAGCCTCCTTTGGTCTAATTTTTTTTGACTAACTGTCCAGGTTGGTTATCTTTTCACAGCAAACAACTAAAAGTATGAAATAAAGATGAAAATGCCCAGATTTTGGAAAAAGGTGTTAGCTAAGCTTAACTAGCTTTTCTGTGCTAAGTTAGCTGTAGTTTGCTGTCAGTTTCCTTCCCTTTTTTGAAAGAAGGCAGTGTGTGTGTGTGTGTGAGTGTGTGCAGCAGGGAAAATACAGTTAGAGTTTGGGTTGGGCTGGTCTGTGACTCAACTCCCAGGATGAAAATGAGTCCCACTCTGAAAATGACACAATGACACAAACGCTAGGTTTGGGTTAAGGGTAGATTTAGCATTATTTTGCTACAGTAATACAGAAATCAGTGGAAATATCCCACAAAGACAGGAATACAAACGTGTGTGTGTGTGTGTGTTTGTGTGAGAAAGAGTGAGAGTGCATCCTGCGGTGCTGAGTGCTAGCCTCTTACCACATAAGGTTGGTGATTTTTAACACTGAGGTGCTATTAGAATTTAGCTAATGTGCTCTCAGTAAATGAATAAAGACTGCAGGGAGGCACTGGTTGTGTGCAACTCACACTTCAACTTCAATGTGGAAATAGCCAGAAACTCATAACAAAGATAAACAGCTGGTGGGTTCTTTGTTGAAAGGAATAAGAATGTTCAGGCCTCTTCTTGGCTAACTTGCTGCATTAAAAAGGTTCAGTGAATGCTTCAGGCTCCCCTCTAGTTCCTCTCAGTTTGCTCTGTGGTGACTCAGTACTAATTAAATGGGTTTGATGGAGCCCATGCCAGCATCTGAAATCAATGCAATAAATTTAGGCCTGGCCCAGACAGCTAGGTGGAGCTGTAAAACGGGTTTATGATTTTATAGAGCAGAAATCCCCAATGATACAATAAACATACATACAACCAATATGAACTCTGAGCGCTCAGGACTGATGAATAATCTATATTCAACAAAACTGAGTGTTCATTTAATTTCTTCATTATTCATGCTTTGGAACTGATAGTACTGAAGTATTGATGTTGAAAAATCAGTGCTTTAATAAAATACAGTGGTATGTCTTTCAATGCCAAATGGACACAGGGACTCAAAGTGCTGGCTCCATGATTAGATTTATTGCATACTGATGCAGAAGCAAAATGTTTCAGAGCATGGCAGACGTCCAAATCATGCTGTTTCACTACCTTCAGGAATATCACAGCAGGATTCAGTGTGTTACAACTGACTGAAGAACCTCATGCATTTTTCAGCTACTCATACATAATCATTGGCAGTTATGTGAACTAATTAGCAAAGTAAATTTACTATTGCTTGCATCTTAAAGTTCCTTTAAAAGCAGAAACTCATAGACTTCCATAGACTTCATTCAGGGCCTGTTTTCATACAGTAAATGTATAATCTAATTCTCAGATTCATCCATTTAGTTAGTCCTTGAGTCCTGCATTGAGCGTCATTTGTTTGCTCAGCTGGCCTGACACAATACCAACGAATGACAAGCCCCATCAACCTGATCAGATGTTTCATCATCTGACAATGTCCTAATTGCTGCAAATAACAATAGACTAAATAACAAATGCAATGGCAAAAAAGCACTGGTTGTGGATGTCTGTAGTACATTATCTGCTCTGAAAACCAGTTTCCCCTGTTTGTTAGCTCGAATTCCCAACCCTGGTCCTGGAGCAGCCCTGCCCTGTCTCTTATGGTGCTTTTCCTGCTCTAACATACCTGATCCATCTAATCAGCTAATTAAAAATCTAATTAACAGGCCCTTGCTGAGCTGAAGTAGATGTGTTAGGGCAACACATACCCAATGTAATACCTAAATTGAGTTTCAGAAGAGTCATGAAACCCCCACTCATTTGTGTTGACTCTGTCCACTCCATTTCTAGCAGTGGTTCCACTCATCATCTTTGCCACCTGTGTCTTGTTTGTTCTGCATTATTTTTGGTCTGTGTTTAGGTTGTTGTATGTATTATAGCTCTATATAAGTGTGTTCTCTGTTTCTAGCTCCACTTTTTCCTGTCTGTTCTAGTCCTTTACTCCTGTTACATTACCTGATTTTTGACCCCTACTGAGGATTTGCCATTGTTTACTGTGAATGACCATGCGTTTGGGAAAGCCCTGCAATAAATGCAACTCGGCACATCCGTCTGCCCCTTATGTCTTTCAGTTAGTATCAGTATGTCCCCTTTTTTTTGTACATGTCCCCATTTGTCCACTCCTAAGCATGTTTCTGTTTAGTTTCTCTTCTCTAAAATAAACAGAAAGGGTTTCAGTCTCTGCACCAGGTGTCACAATCTGTTCTGCATGCGATGCCATTGAGGAACCATATTTGGCTTCTGAGAGAACCATATTTGACAATGAGATTTGAGAATGTGAAGACACTTTTAAAGATTCAAAAAGCCATCACATAATAGAAAGGTTCTATACCAATTTAAGGGTTCCCAATTGCTTTGTCTTGAGGGGCCAATGTTGTGTTGTGGGGCCAAAAAGACAAAATATTATACAAATGAAGAAGGCAGGAGATTAAATTTGCTTAACAACTTGAAAAGAAGTGAATGTTATGTATAGTATAAAATGTTTGCTGTCTAATAGGGTGAGGGGGTGGGGTTACAGTAACTTTCCAGTGGGCTTAAATAAATGTTCTTGGGCCAACTTCGGACCTTTACATTATGTTGAGGTTCTTTGATCACCAATAATGTTCTTGAAACTCTCATATCTCACTTACAAAAATGGTTCTCTAAAGACCAATCAATTGAAATGTACTGTTGGGAACCAAAAATGGCTCTTTCATGGCATCAGGCAAAGAATTTTGGCACTTTTTGAGACTTCTGCAACTGTTATCAAAGAATGAAAAACCAAAGCTCACTCTGATTTATTTCTTGTTCTGTGTAGTATGTGTCACCTGAATATCTCAATGACTTGTTATTCTGGTTGTTGGCAGCAGAGGGTGCTGCAGTGTCAGTTAGCATGTAGGGTCTTTAGTGCCTCAGGGTAGATCTGGGGCTAGTTCTGTTGTTCAGTTTAGATTTGGTTTAGGCAGAAGATTTGCTACAGGGGCTGCCTTGAGATCAGTTCTAGTAAGAACAATGATTTACTGATGTAATATTAGTGCCACCTACTGCGCTGTAGAAAATTATGTGGCTAATATCTATAGCTTGGTGCACTAACATGTACAGGTTTTCACTTTTTTCCCAAATAAAATGTATAATACTTGTTCATTGTGTGAAACATGTAAATATGTGGCTAATTTGATGAAATGCTGCTAAACAACAATGAGGGATGCAGTAACAATGAGGGATGCATCTGACATGCATCTAGTATAAGGAAAGCACTTATCGCTATGCTAGGCTCTCTAGGAAGTTGTGGTAATGAACGTCACGCATAGAACCACATGGAAGTGCCATTGAATACCTGCTGGTGCAGCTTGGATGAGTGACATGCCTGCACGATGTGGGCCTGTTCCCATGCCTCTGCTCTGCCCATGGTTGTGTATGTGCACATGTTTCAGTGACCTTCACTGACCCATCTGCTTTTAGCTGCATTTACGTTTGTCGCGAAAGCCTTCTGCGTCATGGTGAGAATTCATTTGGCACAAATTGGCTTAATGTTCAGTTCTGTTGTACTATCTGTTTCATGTTCACCCATTTAAAGACGCACCTACTCATATTAAGCTCAAGTGCTTTAGATTAACACATTGATACATGATATTCCTATATCTGTAATCATATTTGTACATTTGTTCAGTATAATAATGATTATAACAATAATAATAATAAAAATAACAAAGAGAACAAATCGAAGGCGTGAATTTATTTTTAACAAACACTGAAAAGTTGAACGAGTTTCCCCTTTTTGCAGATGATCCCATAGAACTGGTGGAAACTTGATCAGCTTTACAATATAGGACAGTGACAGGTATGGGGGAAACAGACACATAAATAGACACAAATATTTAAATAGATGTCTCAACCACAAGCAGTCAATGGTGTATATACTTCCCTATGTGAATATAAGAGCCAGAGTGTTACATACGAAAAAGGCGATAAATGTCTCTTTATTTTTGTCTTCATATGTACAGTTCATGTTTTTTTTTCATTTCGGCAACCAGTGTCTTCAAGATCCTACAAAGAGAGAGAGGGTCTAATATTAAACATCAGTTTATGAATACATGATAGAAAAATAAATTTAATATGCATGACATTTGGTATTGTTTCATGATCCTTATTCTACTATAGAACATAATACTATTCAGAAGTTTCAAATTTTTAGACATATTAAGCAAATATGTTACTTTATATACAATAGTACCTAATACAAAGTGGATTTCAATGCATCAAACTATCTGTCCAAAGATTTTTTTGATATTTTATTTAGTATTTCTGAAGTGAATATAATGAATCAAGTAAAAATAGAATAAAATATCCTAAAATTATCTGTTTACATTACTTCTGTCAAGTTATCTGCCGTGATATTTGATCTCCACTTGTGAAATACAATGAATTCTGAATATTTATTTTATTATAACTTAATTAAAAGTCACTTCACAATCTTATACAGCTCTGGTGATCATTCTGGTGACACATCTAAAACGGTTTATATTTACATCTTCATCTTGTCCTATTGGTTACTTTAAACCTATGAAGTTGGACAAGAATCACAAAATGGTAAACGGTTTACAGTAGGAAGCAAAAACGTTCTTTACTGTAAATATAATGTGAAGAGATTTTATTTTAAGCAATTTTGGACCATTTCTATTGGTCCATTCATCATAAAATTTGGTCTTTTGACAACGATGATGTTATAATCACTGTATACAACCAACCTTGTTTTATATTATTGAAAACAGTGATTCCAAACTGTTGAACAGAACTGTCTGTGGTCTAATATAGAGGTAAGTCACTCCTCACCTTTTGAAAGGACTCACTCTCTTCCTGCTGCTCCTAATTTGGGACTGGAACATATGCAGACAGGAAAGAACAAGAAACAGGTGTCAGTGGCCTCTGGCACTATATACGACAGCTGAAGCAGCAGAAATGACTCATGGTTTTAGCTTCTCCTTTTGTTTAAACAGTCAGAATTCAACTCGAATCTCAAACTCATTTGACTTTTCAAAGCAATTTCTTGATACATGATCATTATGACTATTACAATATTCACAGCGTACACAGGACGAGTTAATGTGAGTCCGCCCAAACAAAGAAATTGAACGTGTTAAATAGTGCATGTGGGCTGAAGGGTTTATTAGCGTAAGAGCTGGAAATGAATGACTGTAGGGTCTCCAGGGCCTAATGGGGAGCCCGGTCCTGAGTCAGGGAAATGTGATTGGGTCTCCCGTTGTACACATATGGAGGCACACCAGATTTAATTTATGGAGCACAACCACTCAGCCCCCCTCCAGCAGCAGGGGCTGCGCTCTCCAAGTTTAGTACCCACCATGTAAGGGCAGTGTTCAGGGGGGGAAGACAGATGTCTTGTCAAGACCCAAATTAGATGTAAACTTAGGACTTGAAATTGCTTATTTGGAACCCTTCTGCCAAGAAACTTCAATGCCTAATTATTGTGACATGCTTTTAATGACAAAGAGATCAGGAAATGGAGTATTAAATAAATAAACCAATAAACCAACAGCTATTTTAATGTCACATGCTGGCAACACTGACCTGCATGAATGTGGCTTTACAACTTATTTTTTGTCAGCATCGGCAATCACTGGCTCTGTTGGGGAAGGAAAAACATTCCAAGTTAGCCATATCGCTTTATTCAAACTCAGTCAAAGCATGTCTAGTATGATACATTAAAATAGCCTCATGTTAGCATCCAAATCAATAGGTTAGCAATTTCAACAAGGCACTATCAGTGAAATGACAGCAATGACTATAGCGGCCAGACATGGTGACATCTTAACTCAGTTGCTAAAAGACTTTAAATGACTTTACAAGGACAATAAATCTGTCTGGTTCTGCAAGCCTAAGCCGCTAAGTGGCTAAAGAGTAATAACACTGCTAGCATTAGAACAGACGACAGATCAGTAGCAATAAACATAACTATTAACATGACTTAAGGCGGATTACATTAATATCAGGGAACCATAACACAGTGTTTAATTTGATAACTGCCTATGGAAATCACCCAAATACCACAGGTGTCTGTTTAGGACTGCACTATCCATCAGTACATAATCAGTTTCTATGTGTTCATCATCAGATTTGACTGTTTTTTATAAGAACTAAATTTGTCCGATTCCACCTTTTATCACTGTTTTTCGATGCTATCATGACACTGTATTACGATAAGAAGAAAGGCTACATGTATTAGATAACAATGTACACACATGCAGTCTTAATGTGGTTTAGTGGGCATCATGTCTTTGCTCTCCCTTAGACTTTCTTTGGGCCAAGTGGAAGACCATTGGTTCTCTAAATCAGTGGTTCTCAAACTGCTCCTCAAGGCCCCCCCAGATGGTCCATATTTTTACTCTATTCCTATGTGTTGTGAGTTGGGTAGGAGCAAAAATGTGGCCCAGTTTAAGAACCACTGCTTTAGACAGCACTTTGAGTTTGAAAGGACAGCACTGTGGCCATTACTGTGAGCTGTGAATGTGCTCAGACTTAAACAGCTGTACAAACATCAAACAAAGCATGGGATCACAATGTGACGGCATTAACCATTTAAGGCTAATGCAGAATGTGATTTCTGCCTTTTTAACTACTCTTTACTACTAACAACACAGTTACTGAATGCTGTGGTTGTGTTTATATGTAAAGAATGTGATCTAACAAAAGACAGAAATTCAGAAATTTCTTCAGTTTATGCCACAAACTACCATTTTGAACAAAAAATTTGCATTTAAGTCAAATGTAAATCTGATTTCTGGTGAACTTCTCTGGTGAAAGTGAGATGGACACTTTTAGAAGTGTCCACGTTAACAACATCACGTGTTTGAATATTGTAGTATTGCATTTTATTGAATATGAGTACATGTCTAGAACACCTCAGGGCTACATGGCCAAATATTTATTTACATCATATTATAGCTTGCAAGAAAATGAGTGCTGTTGCCCTTTTGGTGTGCAGTGTCTCTGACACTGATTAACCTCAGACACCATGCTAAAGCCCGCTGCCCAAACCAGCAGTGCATAAATTGCTGCCATGCATTGTTTCTCAGCACCTGCTGAGCTTATTGTCCGGCTGACTTACGTTTGACCTCCAGCTTGCAGGAGACAGTAGCCTCTCCGTGTTCGTTTGTGGCTCTGCAGGAGTACACACCACCGTCAAAGTTACCAGGCTTGCGAATCTCCAGAGAGCAGATGCCCTGGTTGTTGATCTGCCTGAACTTAGGGTCATCACCAATGATCATCTGATTTTTCATCCATATGATCTTGGGCTGTGGAGAAAAAGAAAGCAAGGAAAAAAATGAGTTTGGTCCATCATTTCTGAAAACTTTAAAAGCTTAATTCACTGGAATTAAGTATTAGATATGGAACACTTTGATGCCTCAGTGCTGGACAAATTAAGCTGCTAAGCATTTGTCACATAGCCACTGAGTGACTAGATCCCTGCTATGCATTCCCACATGCGTTAAGTGGACCACAGTCAGGGGTCTCTGGACCACATAGCAGAAGAATGCTACTCATCCAACCTGCGCCACTGTGCGTCTATTCTATTTATCATCCATCCCAAGGGCTTGCGGTGTCTACGAGGCTAAGCTGACTGCCAGATTCCTGAGGTCATTCGAATTCAAGCTTTGCAGCCACACAATGGAGGCTCAGTGCACTGCTGTCAGTGCTGATAATGGAGACCCAACCAACCCAAAGAAATCAGACTCACAACAATGTGTTAGGGATATATGAGGAGAACATGGGTTTCTTCCTGCTTCACTGACTCCTTTATGGGTACCTTCAGTCTAGCTGAGGACTGACCAGCACGGCTATCAACGCTCTAACTTCAAGAGTGAACAAGAACTCAATTCCTACAGCCAGTTTGCAGTGAAGTAATAAAGCTGAAGTGAGCTAATTTACCTTAGGGAATCCTCTGACGGAGCACAGCAGCTTGGTACTGTAGCCCACAGTGGTGCTGCGGTCTTGTATGGGAGTGGTGAACTTGGGGGCCTCAGTGAAGTCATGCTCTTTGTACAGTGGTGGCTTATAGTCAATACCTGGTGAACAAATATCATAATATGCAGGTGTTTGTCAACTGGAATCCCTTTTTCTCTACATTCATATCCCAAACATATCCCAAAGACTGACTTGAAAAATGCTGTTTTATTTACAATGGGGGCTAAAAGTCTGAGACCACTAGTGAAAATGCTTCTGTTTTGTATTTAATATGCTGGTAAGCTGCCATAGGCCCCAAAGGTTTGTGCAAAAGCCTCTGATGAGTAGATCAATTCCACCAGAGAGTCATCTAAATTCTAAAAAACTCTGACCTTAACAAATGTCTTAACATGGTCAGTGTCACAAATTTGCTCAAATTCGAATAGCGATCTAGAAATAGTGCTGTATATGAATAACCCTGTATATTTTTTTCATTTTGCTTGTCATAAATTTTCATTATTTGAAAATGTTCACAATTTTTTAAATAAATAAATAAATACATAATTGTTCAGACTTTAGACCCTGCCATAGTTCTAAACACCTGACATCACACTAAATACAGGTGACCAGGGAGAATTCTGGCTTACCTGTCTTCTGGATGGTGGCAGAGGCCTTTGTAACAGTGGCCTGTTCACTCATTCCACACTTGTTCTCAGAGAAGACCCTGAAAGTGTAAGTATTTCCCATGATGAGGTCTGAGATAGTGGCGTTCATCCTGTGATAGTGCTCCAACACTGTGAACCAGTCCTGTAGAAAGAAAACAGCCAAGCTAGATGAATAAATGTTATTGATGAGCTACGAAGCTGAAAAGGCAGTAAAAGTTTTCGAAAGGCAGAAAAGGGTTTGCTCAATAATATTAATAACATGATGAACAGTAGAAGCCGATGACTTAATTTTAACCTTGACAAAAGTGGGCCAAAACAATTTAACAGTTTTACTACATATGGGTATATGGGTCAATCTGCATGTTGCATATACCTCTCCTCCTTGACTGATCTTGATCTAGCATGATAGATCTAAGCATGCATTCGTAGCTATATAGCTGTAAGAACAGGTATGGAGAGCAGAGGAGAATGGGTGAAAAAAAATGGTAGAAGACATGAGTTACTGCACTTAGCTAGCAGTTTAGGCTGCTGCACCAAAATGAATATACAAGATGTAGAATTTCTAGTTCCAGTTAAGTAGTACAAAAAAGTGCATGGAAGGAAAAGAGAAAGTTTAATTTCTTGTAAATATTTTCAAATTTAACAAATCAAAGTAGGTCCAAAGGTCCAAACACCTTCTATAAAAAGATTACCTATCACAAAAGGTTCACAAATATCACAAAAGGTTTCCTGAACCACAGAAGAACCATTTTTGGTCCTTAAAGAACCATTAATGAGGTTTGAGAGCATGAACAGCCTTTTAAAAGGTTACTATTGTAAAAAGTCTTTACTAATTTAAGGGTGCTTCCTGGAACCTTTACATTATATGGAAGTTCTTTAAAATTGAAAAAGGTTCTACACACTCATACATCTTGTTTATACAAAGGGTTCTCCAAAAATCTATCTACTGACAGGTTTTAGAGATGCCAAAGTGGTTCTTCTATAGCGGGTCTCGCAAACTACCAGCCCAGCAGCATCATACGGCCCATCACGAAGATACAATTCATTCTTAAATCTGTCATGTGCATCACTTTTTCCACTTTTTGCAGGAAAATATTTACATCTTAAGGGCAGATTTGCTCCCCCCACCAACCACTGTGGCTGATTGGCCAACATAAGCTATATTAAATGGTGATAATGATGCTAAAAGCAAAAACAGAGCACTGCAACCAAGAGAAACCAGTCAAACCAAAACCTGATGCAGCATGAATGTTGCACACTGAGTGGGTGTCACTGTAATTTAGCTACAACTTAGCTATCATTGCAATTTAGACCAATTGTTAGCTCAATTTGCTTTAGTGGATTCATTCATGGTGTAGCAGAAGACATGTCAGAATTAAAAAATGAATGAAAATATCAAATAATCCACAGAGAATGCAGAATTAGCTACTGCCACTTCATTCTCAACCCTTTCTAGCTCCTTTATTTTTAAGAGTGCAGGACATTAACCTCTTAAAATCCCAGGCTTATTATATGCCAAGACTTATTATTCATCGACTACAAGGACTTCAATGCAAACTGGTTGAGCTATTCTTAGGAAATAGAAGTGTGTGATAAAACTTTGGGCCCACCGATGGTCCCTGGCCATTTAAGGTGTTAAATCAACTTGATGACTAATGAGTCACTGAGTCACTGAATATAATAAGGAGAAGCCCTCACCCCAGTCTTCTTGTCAGCTTTCTGGATTGTGTATCCAGTGATGGTTGTATTTCCATTGTCCTTGGGCTCGGTCCATTCCAGAGCCACGTTGAAACCCCAAGTGTCCACAATCTTAACACTTGCTGGTGGACCTGGCAGCTCTGTGACCCAAAGAGAATATAATTGTGTTAAAATTGATACAGTTAACACTGAACTGACAGAACCAAAGCTTAGGAAAGTCCTGAAATCATCTCTAAAACCAAACTTTGGCAGAAGATGTTTTTGTTAATAACATTTGTGGTGTACAGTGGGGTCCAAAAGTCTTAAGACCACCAGTGAAAATACCTCTATTTTGCATTCTTTTCTAATTTAATAAGTTTATTTTCACAACTTATTATATTATCTGTATAGCAATTTGAGTAAAATCTAAAATCTTAAAATTCTGACATGAAATTCAGAATTTCTTAGTATTTCCCCCTTTAGCTTTAACAACACGGTGCACTCAAGCTGGCATGGACTCTACAAGTTTGAGGCCTTAACATGTTCAGTGATGTTCAAGATTTGCTTAAGTTTGAGTAGCGACCAAGAAAAAGCACACAATTTGAATATTTCATCTACATTTTTCTTGTCATAATTTTTCTTTGTTTAATTTTTTTTTAAATTCTAAAACTTTATTTTATTATTGTTTACATGAAAAAAAAATCTCAAATTCTTGCTGTGATCTCAGGCTTTTGGACTCCACTGTATCCTGTATCCATCATTTTTAGAAGCTAACATAATTTACCAGCCTTAAATAAAGAATTATAGTTTGTCCTGCAACATAGCATCATGCCTACCAAAAAGACTGGAAGTGTACATGTTAACAACGTTCAATCAATTTTTAAACAGCGACGTTGCTGCTCACCAATGATCTGCAGAGTTATCTGAGCTTTGTCCTCAAAGCTGTCCACCTTAACACACATCTCATAGACACCAGAGTCAGCTCTCTCTGAGGTACGGATGAAGAAGATGCTGTCTTTGTCGGTGTTGCGGATGTTCACTCTCTTGGTGTCGATAGGCTGGCCATCTTTTGTCCAGGTGACCGCAGGCTGGGGTTTGCCCTGAGAAGAGAAAGCATTCCAACATTGGCAGTGTGAAGTGCTAATAGCTGTGAATATAAATCTACAAACATGTTTTGTTTATGGAGTTATAATTCATATAGAGGTCTGCTGAAGTGTTAAAGCTCACTTACAATGAAGGGGATGACAAGATTGACCTTCTCTCCAACATTCATCACATAGCGCTGTCTCAGAATACGTGGCAGGTGAATCTTGGGGCGGTCTGCACAGGAGACAAGAAGAGATACATTAAATATTTAGACTTAGACTTGTAATTATTGCTTTGTATGATAGTGTTGAAACTAAAAAGGTAGTATATTAAATCCATTTAAGACCTGCAAGTTTTATATTTACCCTCTTAAACGTAAAGGCTTATTAATCTGAAGTCTGGTAATTCAGTAACTGCCACAAATTTTTCAGCAACTATGAAACTAATATGTAAGTTATGTAGTTATTGTGGGAACACACAGGGGTTCACTGGGTAACTTTTAAGGTCAACCTAAGATTCAGTTTCAAGTCCTTTCAGAGGCCAACAGAATGCTAACTAATTGAAATTTCACCCTCCCCACCGTGTGCAGACTTTTAGTTTGTACTGTAGAAAACTGCTAAAACGCTTTCTAACCAAACATCTTGCACGTTACTAATTAACATTATAATCCTGAGATCATTACATTATCATCAACTAAATCAGAAGTCAACACTACTAGCATAAGGCCTCTTCTCTGCACTGCCGATGGCTAAGCTATCTTAAAACTGTAGCACATATCTACTTTTGGACATCTGACATGCTGACTGTGGGCCTGCTCATCTCATCACAGCTGTAAATAGGTCAGTGTTGTCACATCCCTCCTACTTATAACATATGATGGAAAGCTTGAGTTACATTTAATGAGCAATTCTCTAGAACTCCAAACTCTTACCAGTTAAACCAACAAGCAGAGATATACAAACATAAAAAACAACAAAACGCCTACATTTTCTAAATATTGTTAACAACATGGTGGTGAACTTTGCTAGAGTTGGATCAAGTCAAGCAGTGACTCCAATGACACTGTCATTTTACAAGGTTTGGCATTCGTTAAATGTCAACTCAGCTGGAGTTCTTTTATTTTGCCTTTGCACTGGTCACAAAAAGGATAAATAAAGCAAAGGAAATCAAGGGTGGTGAAGTGATACAGTGTATATCTTATCTGTAGTGAGACAAAGCCTTAGAAATCAAAATTTACTACTATTATTTTGTCACTGTTCAAATGTAAGTACATAATATATAATTAGAAAGTAATTATAATGTAATTATAGTGTAATAATCAAGTAATTACACAAATTTACATTCAATAAGCATTCTGTATCTTTTTCTTTCTGCAAAAATAGACTGTACATACAACAATAACTTATCATGGGATCCAAATCATTCTACTTCATTCTACATACTAATTCAAATGTGGTTTGGATGGAAAGTTTAGAACCTGCGCTTTTGACTGAATTTCTTTGCACATTTCAATAAGCTACAAGTGAAGCATAATTATAAAAAAAATACAGCATGCTTATTATGGTAATAACTGCAACGTCTAAGGTTTTATGACCAGATAATCTAGTTTACCAAACATTACTGTGTATCCAACTGTGACACCACTTTAAATCAGTATTGAAATCATCTGTGTTAATACTTTGAAGGAACATTTTAACATCTGCCCTCAAAAACCATCAGTTTTTCCTTGTTTTCACACTTCTCAATTCAATTTGTCGTTTGTTGTCCTGTCACCGTGATGCTTGTTGTTTGTTGCTAAACTGCAGCTATAGATGGCAAACAATCACAGGAAATGACTGGTCACCTGTCGCTCTGTTGCTTGCTAATTTAAGACCTATTATTAAGTTTTAATCAAAAAAGGCCTATTAATTCCATCTTATGGTGAGACCTGATGAATAACAGAGCGTGTGTAATCTTAAAACCTGTCATGGACTATTTGACTATCATTGAGCTTTGAGCTGAATGTTTGAATGTGGGTATCTATGTTTGTATGCAGTGTCACGTTTGAATGTGGGTAGCTATGTTTGTATGCAGTGTCACTTTCACTGGAATTGAGCGGGTATTTCAGTGAGTTTGGCTTTGGAATACAGGTAGCTGTAGCTAGTTTGACCTGAAAACTAGATATAAAGATATAAAGATGTAGCAAATTCATGCTAAATAGTTTTTCTGAATATGCTATAATTCTCAAAAACCTGTTCTTGACCATTTTGAACTGGACGCAATTCTAAGCCCTGTGGAAGCCTGTAGGATATAATATGCACACTGTATCTGACCTTAAAAGCATGTCTTTCACACAAAAATATAATTAAAACACTAAAATTGTTGTAATCGGTGTATTTCTTTAAGTGCTATTAACCCAAAAGTTGCCTTTCAGATTCCATGGCATGTTTCTAGATAAACACAGCATCTCTGGCAAGTGCAAAGAGCTTACAGGTAACCCGAGATGCCTCTCGGCTCCAGGAGTGGTGTGAGAACACATGGGAATGTCACCCACCCCCCATATGCACCATTCACACTTGTCACCATCGGTCTTGTGGGAAGTAGCTTGACACCGATCCAGAATGCTTTCTGTCCTCAGTTTCAAAGCCGTGCAAAACCCTTCATATGTAATCCTTGTTAATGGGAAGTACTTCCCAGCAATTTTCCAAGGATTTGTAACCAGGATTGCCATTCTTACTTGCAGAGCTAATTCATAAGTTGCCTTTCTGCCCTGTGCCACCAGTGCTGGAAAGGCAGTGCAGGAGTTTGGACCTTCGACCAAAGCATGGCATGCACCCTGCATGCCTACAGTACGCAGGCTGGACTCATGTTACAGTGCAATCCAGCTCAACTTTCCATCCTACATTTATGATTTCTTTCTTTAGACTCGTTTAAACCAACTGCTGTACAGGTGCCCTGTCAGTTTCCCTCCAAAAAGGATCTCCTTAAGGCAAATATTGGCTGCTTTGTGAAATTAGTTTGATGTTGCTAAGTCTTTGAATGGAATAGCTAAGACAGCCAAACTGTTATTACTTCTATAACCTAGGATTAACTCAAGTTTTCAATTTAGTCCATGTAGTTACTGGTTAATAAGCCTTATTATGCAATTAGCCCAGGGTTTTTTAAGCAATTGAGTCAGATTAATGATGCAGTCACTTTCACTTTCAGCTTTCAAAAGCAAAATGATGGCAAATCTTTATAGTAATTTCAAGTAAGTGTTTGCAGTAAAACACAAATACCATTAAAGAGTTTTTGTTTAGCAATTAAAACAAAATATAACAAATGTTTCAGTTACCATGTGTCCTAAAATAAATCTCTCCTCCACCTGTGTGTCTTGAAGCCAAAGCTAACCAACATTAATCTGACAAATGTTAACATAAGATGCCGTACTGGAACAAACTCTTCCGAATATGCAGAACTGTGATGAACAAAATCCCTCTCCGGCACTCAGTTATTCATACTGATCGAGATTGATGACCCTGGTTCTCCATTTTGTTTTAACATTGGTGTTCATGCCACACAATCGAATTAACATCAAGCTTGTAACGCAACCCCATCAAGTGAGCCGGTGCCAAACCCTGTCAGCTAGATTCGCCCTTCCACAGGCGGCCAACTCTCAGAGTACATAAAAACTTTCCAACACACTTTGCCAACTGTCTGGGGAGCAGAGCTGGAGTCCATGCCCAGTTCAGCACACTTACAGAATGCAGGCAAGCCTGGAAATCCACAGTGGCCCTTGACGGATCGTTGGAACACTACTTCTACATTACAAACATTGAAAAATGCTTACACAGCCCACATTACTATGCCTATTACTCATAATCTGGAACTTTCAACCATTTTTATTATTTTTTTCTAAAATACTGCATAATTAAAAGGTTAAGATGTAAACAAAGTCATCCCGAGTGGTTTGATGTGAAATGCATAATTCTAGAGAAACTTGCTGATAGGAACCAGACAATTGAATGCATTTCAAGGTTATGAATACGCTGCCTGATGCCCACAATCCTGTTTTATGATACTTTTTAAACATGTTTTTGGCCTAAAATTGATTTTTTAAAAACTTTCATGGCAGAGAGGTACATGCAGGGTGTCATAGGGCACACTGTAGGTTAGCGTGGTGTAGTGGGTAACACTGATACCCCCCACCACCACCACCACCATGGTAGACTGGAGTTAAATTCCTCTACGCATGCAAGCACACCGTGCTACACTGAAAAAAATCCTTGGGCAAGATTCCTAACTTCATACCAGCTTAACTCCATAACACAAAATGACCTACAAAGTCACTTTGGATAAAAGCGTCTGGGAAATACCTCAATGTAAGATCCCCAGTCACCCAAAAAGACTTACCACTATTATTAGCAATATGGCAAAATCAACATTACACACTGTAGAAAAAATCAGAAAACATGTTCCCTGGTCAATTTGGATAGCAAATAAAGTGTCTATATTTGTGACCTTTGGCTCCTATCACCACACTGTGAAGAAATCCGCAGTGGTAAGTTCAATCAATCATTTCACATCAAACTTTTGAAGGGCTTTACACATCAACAATTGTATTATGCAGGAAATTTGATAAAGTGGTGGTATTCCACCAATAAAACAGTGTAGTGTTGTAGCAGAATGTTTAGAAAAAGGACTGATAAACAGAATGAAACAGGGTGGTTGGAGGAATTTGCTCTAGAGACTCTCTTGACGTTTGTCGATGTTGGCTAGGTCGGTGCTCCGGCCTTTAGATAGGCCTTACTTATAAGACTTATATGAGGAAGTCTTATATCACGAGTGGGAAAACCGGGACTTACCAACCACCTCTCTGACCAGGACAGCATCAGGCAAAGTGGCAGGGGGGCTACGTCCGCCGGCATTCACAGCCACCACCCTGATGTTCAAACGGTCACCAGTGGTCTGGTTCTTAATGACATAACGGCAAGACACTGTGAGCTCCTCGTTCACAGCCTTCCAGTCACCAGCTATACAAAACACAGAGAAGAAAGATCCTTTAATGTACAGAAATATAAGGCGGGTATTCAGAACAGTAGAGGTATTTTTTTGCTGTCCATTCTGACCCACATTATAAGCTCAAAGCAAATCTGACCAGCACTCCTGCTTTATTCATTTAACACTGAGGATATTGCTTTGGGAGATTGAGCCCTCTGAAAAGTACAGCAGGTACCGGCCAAAAACCTGCAACCAAAAAGGATTCTTTCATAACGTCCTTTAAACTGAGATTTGGAGTGAAGTAATCTTACATGGACTGCATTAGGTTCGATTTTTACTGAAGAACATTTTTTCCATTCTGGTTTAATAGAAACATGCTGTTTTCAGAACCCTGACTCTTTAGCACCATCATCTTCTGCACATTTTAATGCAAAATTACTGTTTATTTCCTGAATTTAACATATTGACAACAAAACATAAATGTGGCCTATGCAAAAGTTATGGCACATTTTTTATTTATATTTAGTTTCCATTATGTTAAACTCATCACATTAATAGACACTGTACAGTAGAATTTGCAGAAAAATGTCATATTTAAGTGTGTTTTCTATAGATGTGTTCACTTATCTTGACTTAGAAACATTTTGTCCATTACATTATCTTTAAAATACACTTTTTACAAAGTATGTTGTTACATATATTTTTAGTTATTTGGAATCACATATTATTTAGAATTACACATATACTGGAGAGCTAATTTTAAAATATCTGCATATATTCTGAAAATATATTTTACTTTTCTTTTTTTTCCATATCTGACCCCTGAAATATATTCTTTTGTCCAAGACTAGCTCTAATGATTCTAAAATCCAGCAGTTGAATGTTTCAAACTTAAAGACAGGTATGAGGAGCCACTAATGCATTTGGTGAAAACTTCGATTAAATTTACTATCTTTTTTTTTTTTTAAGTACCAAATATTTTTTCTCCAGCTTTACAGAAGCTGAAACTGAAAGCAGCTTCTTGCTACCTGCCAGGCACTTCGCTTGCGAGAAGGGTTCCTTGAGACAGTGTTACCACTAGAAATGCCTCACTCCTTATAGGGACACAAGCTAGGTACATGCGTAAATCTACTGGTGACACTTTGGGGACAGGTGCAACTGAGAGGTCTGACCAGCCAACGAAACTAATTTGCATTTCTCTGTGTTTAAATTAGGGAGCAGTGCGGTGTGACGTGGGGTATTTAAAGAATGAGGATCTCAATAAACACAAAAATGTCCATCCATCCCAGCATTGATATTATTAGAGATATTTTAAATGATCAGATTCCTCCTTGTCTGGAAACAAGTATATTAAGAATGTTAAAGGAACCATATCGTGGAGTGTTGTCACATGAAAACGGTGCTAAAATTTCAAAAGAGTACCATCTACTCTCCATATATGGACACTAAGCTGCAAAACACCTTTTGGAATTTATTGTGTTTGTGATGTCACAAAAATGTTTCCATAAAGATTTCCATACATTTGCCTGTTCAGCCTAAAATAGTTTAGCCCTGCCCATTTCATGCTGAAAATTAGGAGTGTTTCATTTTGGCTGATCAGAACAGGCATCTTTCACATACAGCCATATGCAAAAGTTTGCACACCCCAGGTGAAATTACATGGTTAGTTGATTTTCTAAGTCAAAATAAGTTAACACATCTTCTACAGAGAACACATTTAAATGCCAATTTTAGTGCACAGTATCTATTTATTTAACATATTAGGAAACAATAAAACATATCATAACTGTTCCAATGGACATGTTTTTCCTCAATATTTTAGATTTAACAAATAAAAAGTAATTTAGCATTAAAACATCATTTGACCCTTGGAAATGATAATTTCCTACCTAAATCAATAAATAAATCAATGTGATGAATCAGTTATTAATCTCAGTGTTACTGAGCTCTGCTAAAGCCTGAGTAGACTGATAAATCAATGTGATGATCAGTTATTAATCTCAGTGTTACTGAGCTCTGCTAAAGCCTGAGCAGACTGATAAATCAATGTGATGATCAGTTATTAATCTCAGTGTTACTGAGCTCTGCTAAAGCCTGAGTAGACTGATAAATCAATGTGGTCAGTTATTAATCTCAGTGTTACTGAGCTCTGCTAAAGCCTGAGTAGACTGATAAATCAATGTGATGATCAGTTATTAATCTCAGTGTTACTGAGCTCTGCTAAAGCCTGAGTAGACTGATAAATCAATGTGATGATCAGTTATTAATCTCAGCAGTACTAAACTCTTTCTGTGAGATGAGAGAACTTCACGAATAGTAAGTTCAGCATTGGTGTTGTACTGGACTCATGCAGGCATTTTGCGGTAAAATTATATACATGTTGTTAGCTGAAAATCACAGCTACCTACTTTGTAGTCAAATTTGCAAGATTTTATGAATAGGATGGCAAATTGTTTGCTTAGTTCATTAGATGGCAATGGGTTTATGGGAACAGCAGCAGTGAAGGCTGGTGATCAGAGCCAAAATAATGGTGAGAATCTTGAATCAGTGATTTTTCATTGAATTAATTAACAGAAGAATTACATGAAGAAAACTGCTACCAGTAAGAGCGAGAAACAGTGTGAGTTAAATAAAAAATAGAACAGCAGAGTTTTCTCCACATGTTGCCTTATCGATATGCATTCTAAATGTTTTCTGAATATGCTACTTTTTTTACTGAATACATTTAGGACAGTGTATTCAGGCTATGGGCCCTTTAATCACTGGGGATCAATCAAAAAACTCTTGAAAACATACACTTCAAAAACATCTGATTTGGTTCTGGGCTGAAAAGTTTCTTTGGCATTGAAAAGCTGTTAGAAGAGTAATGTATGATGCTGGGCTTGGGTTCAAATAACGCTCCAGTGACCTCTCACAGAGTGGAAAGTTCTCAGCCACATGCAGAGCCTCCGACTTACTTCCTTCTTTGCAGCATTCCACGGTGTATCCGTCCAAGCCGGCGTTGCCAATAGTAGCAGGAGGCCTCCACTGGATAGTGACTGAAGTATCGTTGACATCCTCCACTACCAGCTCCAGTGGCTCACTGGTGGGCTCTGAAGAAGCAACCACAATCCAAAATTACAAACTCGACCTTCAATTCCTCACAAAGGCCATAATAGTAACTAGTAAATCTTGAAGAAGATGGAAGGTGAAGGAACCAGAAGCAGCAAGCTCTCCTCTGAACGGAAGGTTTACCTGCAGGCGGAGGTGGGGTAGGAGCTTTGACCTCCTCAGCTGGTGGAGCCTCAGCAGCAGCTGGTGTTAAATAGGCAGGGGTCCATTAGAAGCAGCAGGTATAAAAGCAGTTTTCTTTAGGATGTAAACATTAGCTTGAGCCTTTGTAGCTTAATGTAGCCTAGTAAGGTTTCAATCCGACATAACTGAGTGAAGCAGCAGCATGATTCAAACAATGTGAATATATTCTCTGCAAGGCCTAGTCCAGAAAATTCCTCACACTGGCATCTGACAGTGGATATTTGCTTACATAGCATGAAAGGCACAGTACTAGGATTGCACTTTACCATCAGCGGGAGCCTCTCCTTCAGCAGCAGGAGCAGCACCTTCCTCAGCAGGAGCAGCATCAGCTATGTTAGACGTCAAAGCGTTAATCAATGAGATAAAGCAAAGATTTTAAATTGCGCACAAATAGCAACAATCCTGCTGAAAAAGCAGCACAGACCAGCATGTAGGCTAGAAGGTTTATGCTGGTCTGGTGCCAGTCTAGCTGGTCACCCTTCATGGTCATGCTGGTTGACCAGCATACCAGCATCCAAAACACAACATATGCTGATTTTGCTGGTGACCAGCTATGCTGGTTTTTCTAGCAGGGAAAGCTCAAACAAGAGTTTTGCAGTGGTTCTCATTTGTTATGCATAGTTTAGTACGGACAAAATGAGAAGTGCAGGCAGCGGCTTCCAGCGGCTAAATGACCTAAAAAGCTCAAGTGATGAATACCACTTTCGAAAATACAGCTAATCAGCTGACAAGCTGCTAGAGCAAATACCAAAGCAAAGCCGCTAGAAGTAGCAAGCTAATAGTGTGCAAAATATATTCTCACACAAAAAGTATAAAAGGATAGAAGATAGTACACTAAATGCATTCCCATATGCAACACATTAAAATGTGTTTTAGACAGATAAAAAATGTCTTTTACAGAGATATAAAATGGTTTCTGGCGTTAAGGCTAACATGCAAACGTACCCTCTTTCTGCCTTCATCTCTTATAGAATCAAAACTGGACTAAAAACGTAGCCGTAGCTAGTTATTAGGATGCTAAATATATTCTTATTCAGAAAGTAGATAAAAAAACATAAAATGTCTTTTAGACAGATAAAAAATGTCTTTTATAGAGATATAAAATGGTTTCTGGTGTTAAGGCTAACATGCTAACCTCTCTCCACTTTTGTCTTACATAGAAGCACAAATTGGTTAAAAATACACAAGTAGCTAGTTGTTAGCATGCTAAACGTGTTCTGATATGAGAACTGGATGAGGAAAGATAAAATGCTACTGTCTCTCCGTCTGTGTCGTTTATAGAATCGCAATTTGATTAAGAATTAAATTTGACAGATATTAATTTATAAAATGACAGTAAATGTTGTGAGTGTGCTAAATTAATAATTTCACTCAAGACTATCAGCCTGCATAGTTAAAAGCTGTATGGCTGCATGGCTTCCCAACATGCACAGCTACGTTATGCTGATACAGCAGGATGACTGCAGAGGGTAAGGATGCACTGCATAGGCGTAACATGAACTAGTGACTCTGCTACTACAGGTTTAGGATCACCGTCTCACAAGTCACAGGCGAATGAGCTGAGATCAGGCTGGGATTGGACAAGGTGTTAGTCCCTAACTGATGCATTAGCAAGGCCAAAGAGGAACTGTGAGATGTAGTTAAATCTCAGGACAAATCCTGACAAAATAAAGATGAGCCCTTGAACTGTAATAATAATCTCTTGATCATCATTGTGGTACAACGGATGTCCACAAGTTGCTGCTCAGGCTTACATGCTGAATAGGCTGCATGTTAAATGGAATGGCAAGATTTTCTGTCAGCTGTGCAGAAACCAGAATAAAAATAGCCATATAGGCAGGCTCTTGATCAAAGACATGCCAAAGCTGTCGCAGAAGTGTTTAAAAGAGAATAGCAGTCAAACAGCTGTGGACTCCTTATGGTGCTGTCCAGCCTCTGCTGAACCCTGAATTCTTGGAGGGTTTCACTGTTGCAGTGAGGAGGAAATTGCACTGTCAATGGATTCTCAAGCCCGGGTAGTTAGGGGTTTACAACATGCTGATAAAGGTCATGCTTCTGTAACTATGTTAAGATCAGTGCATCAATTTCCACAAAGATGGCGGGATTAATTGGGAGTTGTAGTCGTGATTACGGAAAGTGGTTCTCAATCCCTGTCCTGGTAACCCACTGTCCTGCAAAGTTTCAAGGGTTCCCTGCCCCAGGGATGTGCTGGATCAGGCTGTGTTGGGGTAGGGAACACTGTGCAAGGCAGGGGGTTTCCAGTTGAGGACTGCTGTGATAGTAGACAGTACCTTCTGGAGGAGGGGGAGTTGGTGCCTTGGGTGCCTCGGCTGGTGGAGCTTCAGCAGGAGGAGCCTCAGCTGGTGGTGCCTCGGCTGGGGGAGCCTCAGCTGGTGGAGCTTCAGCAGGAGGAGCCTCGGGTGCAGGCTCTGGCGCTGGCGCAGGAGCTGGTTCCTCTTTCTTGACCTCCTTCTTGGCCTCCTTCTTGACCGCCTTCTTGATGGGGGCTGGCTTAGCCGGCATGGTTTCCGCAGGAAAGATCCTGATCGCAAGTAACACCCTTGACTGCGACCAGGAAGGGGGCGAGCTGGGTTTTATAGCTTGTGTGGGGGCTATGGAACTCCACCCCAACCCTTAGTTTTATGTAACAGCTGTGGGTAGGACCACACAGAGCTCTTGGCGTCATAGATTGACTGCCGCAAGACAACAGGTCGAAGCAATGCTGCTTGCGGACAAGGACAACGGCAGACTCAAGTGATGAGAGATGTAAGATTTATAACAACTGAATGGTCAGTGAGAGGTGCAGTTTATACTGAACCATATTAAGTTAATGACTAAGTAAAACTAGAATCGTCCACTACTGTTGTGGCTACAATGACAAAAATACAAGTACAGCACTTACAAAAGTCGGACAGCAACCTTCATTTATTTAATATCCTGTCAAAACTGCCAATAAGTAGACGTTCATTTATTTTTCAGAATATTTCTGAGGAGATCAAATATAAGATAATTCACTTGCATAAGGAAGTGCAAAGCCAAAAGTGAAAAAAACAATGATTTTCCAAAATTAGAATTTTAAAAATGATTAAAAGATACAGAGAAACTGGGACTCCTAACACCCATACAAGACCTGGTAGACCACCAAACCTTCCCCCATCAGATAAACAGCACTTAAAGCTTTCATCTTTGAGAGAGAGGAAAAAATCTAGCTTCACTCTCATCAGATCAGAAAACATCCACAGGTGTTTCTGTTCATCCTTTCACTGTGAGAAGACAAGTCAACGCTGTAAGTGTGAAAGGATGTGTAGCTGTGAAGAAGTTAATAAAGAAAAGGAAAAAGAATGAAATTTGCAAATCAAACAAACATAGAAGCTACTAATGTTTCCAGAAAAATAGACTGCCCACCCCATGGAGTCCAGACCTCAACATCACTGAATGTTTGGGATTATGTGGATTGTGAGAGGCAGGAAAAGCAACCAGGGAAAAAAAAATCCCTGCAGATTTCTTTGAAAACCTGAAAGCAAATCTCTTTAAAAGAATGTAAGCTGTAATAGAGGCAAAGAGTGGACACCGTAAATACTGACATTTTATTTAGTTGTTGGGGCTTCTGTGTAATTTTCTGCTAAATACTGCTTTTTTTCCTGAGGCCGGAAAGTGAATAACTTAATGGGAAAAAAGTGCTTAATGTCAGTTTTGACTGGAAATTAAATAAATTAAGGGTGACAAAGAGTGGTCTCTGACTTTTGCACAGCATTGTAAGTCATAAAAAGTTAGGCAGCTCATCATAATCAGGTTGTACTATTAAATCAACTCTGGGCATAGAAATACGAACTGAAATCGTGACCTGGTACTATAGTAGTGCAAAAACTGAACGGTTTGAAAACTGGGCTACATTGGAAAGAAAATTGACTGTTGAACATACTGATTAGTTAAACAGACCAAAAACAAGTATGTTAAAGAATGATGTTCTTTTATTATGGTAGACGGACAACATTGGATTGGTTGTTATGCAGAAATCTCCAGAAGCATGCCAGTTCCCCACAGGTTTACAGGGCCACGCAAAAACATAAAAAGCACAATTTTCCCCTTACAAACCACATTTCTCTACTAGTTTTCCTTATCCTAAACGATTGTTGTCGCAAATGACTTGGCTATTTACAATGTATACAATTATGACTTTCTGTACAAAAAAAAAATGGAAATTAACTTGTACAAATGATTATCTGGGGGAAAATTACAAATAAAAAAGTTATATCCTGTTAAAACGGCCGAACATTAGGTAGACCATTTTCCAAATTCTGTTTCACACCAAGGTGACATGCTTTTACAACATTTAGAAACCCATTACATGTCTATTGCACATTGCAAGTTACATTAGATACCATACCTTTAATAGCATATTTTAATTTTGAATCAATAACAAGCATCGCATGATGTTGGGGACTGTTCAACAACTCCTTGTGATCCTGTAGCCAGTGTCATGGCTTGATATATAGTTTAAAACATCTTACACTCTTCAGGGAAAACAAATGCCACTTGTAAACCACGTTAGGCCATTTGGTTTGAAGAACACAACTGTGCAAATTATCTGAATGCATCAAAGGACATCTTTAGTGCTCCTTTGGCCAACACAGTAAAATCACCAGCGTTATTTAGCATTCAATTTAGCTGTGTGGTGTAAATGCGATTCCGACAGAGTTCTACAGTAACACTGGTGATTTTACTGCATGCAATTTCAGGGGGAAATGAAAAGTAACCCCCTTCACCACTAATGCTCGCCTTGGGGCCTCAAATCACCCCAGTGCAGTGAAATAATATGGCAGATAGTGTAGTTTATGTTGTAGTCTATCTTCGACATACTGCAGTTCAGAACATTCCAGAGGGAGAAAGGGAGAAAGACAGAACGCAACTTAAACCAATGTCATTTTTACTGATATCTCCAGTCATTATCCACCGTCTCTGCCAGTCAAACTGAACAGTAAGTTGTTGAATAGTCCTGTTATGAGAGACAGCACAATACAACACAGCCATCACAGAGTTACAGGCACAGTAACCAGGGACATGATGCAGGCAGAGCACAACGGCTTCTGTTACCAACACCCGACTTCACATAGGGGCCGTTTGAAACAGTTAAAGTCAGTTATAATGGCAGGGGACTGCAAACGTAATCTCTTTTCATCTACTGCATCAAAGCCAGACAAAACACACGGGGAAAAAAGACTGAAAATAGGCTTCTCGGGATAAGCCGCATTTTTGCTGCTATATTTCAGTTTTATGGTAAATTACCAAAATCGAGATAGGTTATAAAGCCCAATCTATCCTCATAACATTGCTTGACGTAAAATGAACTGTCAAAAAACATACACCAATCCCTTTTATTAAAAAAAAAAAAACAGCACTGAATGGGCTAGGCAAATTAAGCCATTAGCCATCATACGTCTTAAGGAATGTAATTAGATGTAAATCTCACACAGTAGACTGGAAGAAGCAGCGCAAAGAAATTTCAGAACAACAGAGTAGTATGTGAACACAAGGAAGTCCTATCTAGAATATTGTGTGGCTCTTTTTAACTGATCTGGCTAATAAACCCTTTCTGACCATTTTAAGACCCTTTTTCCTTTTCTGTCAGTGACATATTTACATAGATGAATAATGGCAGCATACAATGTTTATGAGGAAAAATAAATGGAGGTTATAAATGCAGAAGTAAAGAGAGTGATGCAAGTTCCTAACTGACCACTGGCTTACTTAAATCAGCTTTGCTTTCCACATGCGCTTTTGGATATGCTTTTTTTATTTTCAGGTAGGGATGAGGGGAAATTACTGGTCCACCACTGCTTACTTTAAGCAATTCCTATACATCTTTTTCACTTTTTACATACTGTAGGGTCTGACCGATCCTCTATGGAGCAGCATGCAACTTCAGCATTAGTTATCTGAAAAATACTGTTGCGATATGCTTTTACTAGACTTCAAAAAGAGAAAAAAATCATGGGTTGATGATGAATAACATTAACACACGCCAAAATGACTATTTAAAAGAAATGGGAGAGTAGAAATATGTTGTGGGTTTGAATCATTGTATGATTATTCATTGTTAATTAAGTACTTAATGAATATGCCCTTGTAAGCTATGAGATTGTAAGGCTATTTCACTGTAATCAAGCACCTATGCTATTACCATAAGACAACTGAATGGAAAATTGGTCATTTTCCTATGGGGGACTGATATTTGATAGCACCAAATAATCAAAAACAATCCTATTGTTTGTTTTCTACATACTCATCAGATCTTGATACTCTTTCAATGGGGTAGTTTCTCTCCCACTCTAAAAGCATGGCTGACGTTAAGCAGGTCTGAAAACTAGAGTATTTGGTTTTTGCACTTTGAGATATTTGCACCATACGCTACAAACTAGAACAGTTGACTGAGAGGACAGCAGTATTAAATAATCTTATCTGGACGCCTGAGATTACTAACCCCCTGAGCTGAGATCAGCTTCAAAGCCAAATAAAATTTACCTACAGTATTGTTACGTTAAAAAGAACAGTCCACAGAAACTATATGCTGTTTCAAAAGCTTATGGCAAGAACCTTTAACTGCTGGAGTCTTTCTGAATGCCTCCTACTCTTTACTGTGTATGGTTTTAGTACTGTTGTTGACTGACTCGACGCTGCCAGAGATTCAGCAATGCAAGTTTCGAGATGCCCTCTACAGGACAACCTTGGAACAGAATAGCGCACCTTGCAGTACATTGCTGTTTTTAAGGCATTCTTGTTTGTCCTAAAGAAACTCGGCTGGCAAAGAAAGGTAACTGCATTCTGCATATGCCAAAGTGTCTCTGAGGTTCATATTCATCACACACTTCCACATGCAGTCTAACTTATGAGTAGGAGATTTCTGAAATGTATGCCCAGGTGGACGTATTCGATCAGCAGCAGCATTCCTGCACTAGCCATCACTGCGGAGGACTGCGGATAGAGATGGTGCTCAATCGTACGTGGTGATGTCCTTGATTTTTAAGCTTTGAGGTGAATGTATTTTGTGCATGCTAGCAAGAGGCAGTTAGCACCTGTTTTCTTGAGTTGTACTGTGGGCAGCAGTGGAACAGTAAGGGCTCCCGGAAAGAAAGAAGTACATACCAATGTATATGTGTATATGATCTGCAGATACGACATTATATATTTTTTTGTTTGTAACAGACGTACCTATGGTCATTAATTATGATTCTTGCAACGTAAGTACAGTATTACATCAACAATTGTGAAATGAGATGAATAAACAAAAAAAAAAGATGAACCCTGTTAGCACAGCACAGGATCTTTTCAGCGATTTAAAACATGAACAGGTATTTCAGGGAGTTTGTGTTTGGAAAGATGGAAATGCCGATGAGGGCTCAGTTTATATTGGTGTTCAAAGTGTGGGCAGTTTGGGGTCAGTCTCTTTCTCTGGAGATTCGATATAATTGGCTGCCTCTTGCAGTTTTAACAGCATTGCCATCTGCAATGAGAAAGAAGAGAAAGTGCATTGTATATAA